CCTAAACCCTAAAACCTAAACCTGTAGGAAGGTGCCTGTACAAGCCATCTGAGGGTTTGTGCTCGGAGTAGAGTCTCAGGCTTTCGGACAATCACAGGGATCACATGGGTAGTTCTCTAAATTCGGGTCCCTTTTTTGGGTCCCCAAAAGAGTACGGCAATTGGATCCCAAAAGGGACCCTAATTCAGAGGACTACCCGCATGGAGCATGCTTGTTTCGGGAACAAAGTGTCCGGTTTAGAGTTTGGGATTTACAGCTTGGGGTTGGGTTGGGAATCAGATTTCCTTTTGGAGTAAAAGAAAGAGGTAGTTCCTGCAGTTTGGGGCTTTGGAGCGCTGTGCTCCTTGCCTATGCAACCCTACAAAAACATTAAAGAACCTTATTATGAAACCTTCAGAACCCCGTAAGAATCCCTCAAGGAACCCTGCAGGACCCTGTCACCTTGCACGCCGCACGCATCTCCAGCGATGTCCTTTCGATTTCTCGCATGCGCGTCGTGGGGTCTGCAGCAACGGCTGATCGGCTCCCTGAAACCACACTTGAGTGCCCTGCTTCAGCCTGCTGGTTGAATCACTGGACAAGTGGCTTAAGCCCTAAACCCTAAGCCCTAAACCCTAAACCCTAAACCCTAAGCAGTTGCTGGAAGATGTTCGGTTTCTGTTCTAGTTGCTTTACGTGGGCCTTACATAGCGTCGTTGGAATCCTGCCGGCCTTCCCAAATCCAGATGCTATATTCCTATTCTATAAGACCTATACATCCCCGGACCTAGAGGTGTACAGTAGGTCGGGGTGCTGAGGGGTGTCGGACCTTGAATTTGGGGTTAGCGTCATCGTTTCATGAAGCTTACCTCCTGGCTGCCCATGACTGAATCTTCCTTGTCACACCCCAAACCCTAAACCCTAAACCCCAAACCCTAAACCCTAAACCCTAAACCCTAAACCCTAAACCCTAAAACCCGAAAGCCCTAAACCCTAAAAGCTCTCATAAGGTCTTCAAGTTTCAGCGCAGGTGGTCGGAGCCTTCCGCGTCTTTGCGGAGCAGTACACCGGCCATCGTGAGCCCGGGCCTGGGGCGGTTCTTATGCTGGGGACAGGGTGGTTTGGGTTTGGGGTTTAGGGTTTAGGGTTTAGGGTTTTAGGGGGTTTAAGGGTTTTAGGGTTTTTAGGGTTTTCAGGTTTAGGGTTTGGGGTTTTCGGGCTAAGGTTTTGGGGTTTTAGGGTTTGGGGTTTTAGGGTTTAGGGTTTGGGGTTCAGGGTTGGGTTTGGGGTTTAGGTTTAGGGTTTGGCGTTCAGGGTTTAGGGTACCGAAGAAGGGCAGCTGCGGCTTCTAAAGAAGAGCTGTCACGGAGTGTCAATGTCTGTCTGGTGCTTAGTAGGGAATGCGGGAATGGGTTATAGGGACTACTTTAAGGGGCCATGATAGGGATCCCTTCCTGCATTCCCTACTAAGCACCAGACAGATGTGTGCTCTGATTCGGGCTGGGACGCGGGAGTTGGGCTTCGGCCAGAGTCGACAGCGGTGCTTCAAGCGGATAGCGCCGTTGTGCGCTTGCAGGCTTGGGGCCCGTGGATGTCTAAAACGGACAGCCGTGCAAAAAAGACGAAAAGCATTGGGTTTTAGGGGACGTTGCCGATTCTGATGAAGAAGGACAGGCGCTGCTCGGTTTGGGCCCCACGCTTGACAGAGTCTGAAAAAATGGGAGGCGCGAGATCCCTTCCTGCTTCGCTGCAGGAGGTTACAGTGCCACGAAGTGGTCTGCCATGCTGTCCCCGATGAGTGCCTGGCTTCAGCTGATGTTTGATAAAGTGTGTGGAGGACGGGGGGATGTGGGGGAGCTTGGCGCCAGGAACCAAAACACTGGGTTCAGTGATGTTCCGATCTGCAGTCGGCGGGCAAGTTGCATTGATCTTCTTACTGCACATAAGTCCAGAGGCTCTTCATCGAGGTCACCCGACTCGAATCGAGAGGGACGGTTGAAACCTTGCAAAATCCCAAGAAAGTGCCGGGCCCTTTCAATCTTTCAATGGAAGCCCTAAACCTTTCCTGCGAGTTCCAGACCCCAAACCTTCTAATTCTATCCCTCAAGCACCCTAGCCCCGTAACCTTCATCCACCGACTTGGAGCGCGGGTCACATGGGCGAACAGATATGCTACATAGGGCATGTGCTGAGGGTTGGACGTTCCAAAATCCTGTGGCCAATGTTTGAGGTTGAAGCTGTTAGGGCTTTAGGGTGTGTAATGTGTTTAAAGTTTAGGCTATCCTAACCATCAAGCAAATTGTTTAAACCCCTTGCCATACGCCAGGTATAATTATGTCCTTCACATCCGAAGCCCTAATCATTACCTAGCCCTTCAACCAGCACGGAGCCATGCGGCCCGAAAGCTGGTTGAGTGGCGTTTGTTCGCAAGTCCCAGCGGTGCCAAACACATTCCCAGAGACTGCCTAAACCCTAAACCCTAAACCCTAAACCCTAAACCCTAAACCCTAAACCCTAACCCTAAACCATAACCCTAAACCCTAAAC